TGACTGCCGAGTGGGACAATAGTGTTTAATAGGTTATATAGGAAAAGTTTGTTTAAAACATTATCAACTCACTGGATTGACAAAATGTCGGGCTAAACAAGGACCCCTCTTGTCTACCATGCCATCCTATCACCAGCGTGCTAACTGCCTGAGCGCATGGCACAATATCGCATGTTAAACCTGTTGACCTCATCGGTGAAACTGCAGACAAATAGCTGTGAGTGGCTGACGGGCTCCACACTCCCCAGCAACTGTGGTCTCTGTGGGGCAGATCCAGCCATCCACGTGAGACAAAGTTCACACTCCCTAGCTGAAGAGTCTCACCACAGCTTCAAAACTGACTGTCATAAAACTGCACAATGAGCGACTTGATCAGACCGCATGATGCGTGTCCGACTGGAAACATGCTTACATCACAACCCAAAACCTTTTCAGATGAGAGAACTCAAACCTCGCAGTAATGTTCAACCTCTCCCCACGCACCCTCACTCGTCGTTTCCACATTCCTCTATTGCATAAGCACATCTTGAGCAGGTCAAAGGTCAGCATCAACAACAATGCCCTCCAGTCTGAGGCAGCGAGCTGGGTGAGAGAAAGGAGACACCTTCCCGGGTCGTAGGATGTGGTATTGATTGATGCTGTGCAGAAGTGTCTTTTCTCCAGTAAAGCAGGGAGCTTTTATTAGGCCATTATAGTCTCAACATGCAGAAGATTGGGTTCCCCTGATGCTCTCAAATCCCGCTCAACAGCTATTATGCTGCACGAAACAAACAAGCGATAATCCCAGGCATCTCTATTCACACCTGTCCACTCATATTCACATCACAAAGGGAGTTTGTGTGAGGGAGTATTCATTTGCATAGTTTGGTCCTCTTTATATGCAACAGGAAGAGACAGTGAAACATCTGACAAAAGGAGTAAAAATCTGCCGTGCCGCCATTTTTTGCATTTTTATGTTTCTCTCTGATTTCCAGAAGTTTGCAGAATCTGAGTTCATGAGATCTGAGAGATACAGCTTCCATTATTAAAGTGGGATTAGAAAGCCTGTGCTGTTAGTGTTTGTGGCTATAGTTGTCAACATTTGTTTTAAATGGTGAAGTGCAAGATGTTGCCAAACAATAAAGTATTTCAGAGTTGAAATGTAATCTGTGAAGACAAAGGGTCTGAATAAGAAGAGAGAATAAACATTGACATAATTCACTAAAAGCATAAAGATCGTTTTAAAGCTTAGAAATTAATACTGAAACAACTGATTTGTTGATCAACAGAAAATGACAGAAGAGTCCTTAACTCCTTCCAAGTAAATCAATTAAGTCATTTATCAGGCAAAAAGCAAAAGATTTGCTAGTTTCAGCTCATTAAATGTGAATATTCAACTAACAATAATATTTATTATTTATTAATCTGCCGATTATTTTCTGGTTCCATCGATTCACACAGTCACAATGTTCTCAACCTGCTTGTTTTCTCCAAAAGTCCAATAACCAATGATACTCAATTTATCATAGAACAAATACAGCAAATCCTCATATTTGAGAACCTGGAACCAGAGAGTGTTTGACATTTCTAAATAAAAAAAAAACAGTTAACCCATAATCAAGATGGTTGCAATCAACTAATCGATTATTTAACTAATTGTCGCAGCTGTAGAATATTACCTCAAGGGGCCCCTAAATCAGATCCTCTGTAAGATATGACTAATAACATTTCTTGTTGGAGAGTCAAAAGTGCTTCAGAAAAACATTTCTCTTTAAAAAGGTATCACGACAGATCATGACACCTTCATGTATGGGCTTTGTTAAGTGATGAGCTTGTTTCACTATTTTCTGACATTTTATAGGCTAAATGATCACTTTTAATGTAAAAATAGATAAACTGATAACATAAATAAGCTTTAGTGCCGCCCTAGGCATTACATTGCTTCATTTGAAGTGTGAATCAGTCTTTCTTAGCTCTGAGTGACCTCGAGCATGACATCCACAGGATTATCAAAGCACTAAAGATGCTTTGCTAATCTATGTCTAGATGTTTTTAAAATTATAAAATATATATATATATATATATATATATTTTACACACACACACACACACACACACACACACACGATATGATTTGCAATAGTGAAGTGAATTTTTACATTTATTAAAATTTTTATTGAAAAACATTCAAATGACTATGATGTGATTATTGCAAGTGACCTGTACTAAACAAAGATGTTTTCTTAAGTCTGTAGAATATAATGCGTAGGCCAGGGCATCTCTGCAGCATGACAACATTTATTTTAAAATGTTTTTTTGACACACATTTTGTCTTTAACAAATATTGCACCTCCTGCGATTTGAAAGTAGTAGGCCATATTGTGATTTCGATAAAATTTTGATTAGTTGTTCAGCCCTAGGTCAATACTACAAACGGAAACCAGAATGATTCCGATGCCAAAATCTTGTCCCTTGCCTACAGATTCTGCATTGTTAAGCAGATATATGAGATTAGTGCTGGCATGTCCTTAACTCCTTCCAAGTAAATCAAGCAAATCTATCTTTTCTGCGCTTTAGTTATCTCACCAGATGAGGATGAACCCAGTTTAGTTTTTTGCTGCAGTCAACATGATTAGGTTTCTCCATTGGATCACTAGTAATGGAAGGGAATGAGATGCACAATAAAATCATCTTTGTTACCAGTAGAGATGTCCCGAGGCAATCCTAAAAGAACTATAATTCTAAAGATCAGCATCAGGACTGATCCGGGCATATTTTAAACGATCAGTATTGGCTAAAATATCAGTGGCATCTGCAACCTGCAAGTGAAAAGTACTGTGTGTGAGTGTGAATGTATTTTATGCACACCAGTGCGAGTGACTCCAAGTTCTGACACCCAGCAGTTTCTCATTGGTAGCCAGCACTGACCGTTGCTTTTGACCATTGCTTTCAGACGTTAAAATGACAAACATTGCTGGCAGCAGATCATATCAGCTGTTGCTAATTACCATTAATTCTTTGAGTGTCTTGATGACAGACCAAATTTAAGCTCTTGGAGTCTGAATCAGCCGATACCCAATAATAAAGGACCCGGGTCTGAATAAAAAACTCCATCTAGTTGCCAGTGTCAAACTTTCACTTTCTTTTCAACATATTTTTCTTTTACTGACTATGATGTAACTCAAACTGATAAGGCACTTGCCACTTAAGGGTTTATCCAGATTTCAAAAGTGTTTCGGACACTGCCTGATCATAACCGGGGATACCAGTGGACGTAAACATATCTCACAGATAAGGAGCCGACTCTGGGAAATTTCCTATTCTTTCTCTCTGCCTCACTCACACAAATCAGCTCACCACTTCATCAGACTTCCTCCATAATAGTCTATTTGCCCACTTTACTACATAATCAGCAGCCTATGGGCTCGACCTAACATATCTGGCACAGCCCCGAGTGCTGCAGCCCAGCATTACAGCCTGGCATGTGAGCAGTTTTCAAACAGATTTGCTTAGCACTGCTGAGCACCTAATAACAGGATGTGGAGCGCCAACTGACGAACTGGTCAAACTCCAAGCTGAGCTGCCCCGAGGGCAATGGGCTCCGTGTGGCTATCAAATAAGAGAAGGGGATAAGGGAAGCAGTGTAGTTACGGAGCACTTCTGAAGGCATTGAATCACCTTAATGAAAAAAACAACCATTTGTTCCAACAAATTTTGTGGTAATTTGAGTGTTTTTTTAGAGTGCATGTGAGTGTACATAATCACAGTACTGACCAAAAGTGCTTGTTGGCTGGCACGGCTTATCAGAGTTCCTGCATGTGTCTAAACCACAGGAATTAGGCAAGAGTGTGACATGATTTGAATTGAACAACAATGAATGCCCCAACACCGCCTTCCAGTACACACACACACACACACACACACACACCTCCACCACTGCCGACAATCCCTCTCTCCCTCCCTCTCCCCCGTTTCTTCTCCCCTTCCCCAGCATCTGAGAGCTGCTTACATTTCTCTCGCTACAGAGGGTCTATTAAACCAGACACAAGTATGGGAGGAATTTGGAGACTTTTTGGAAAACAAGTGCTTTTTGAATTATTTATGGCTCTACAGCACACACACACACACACACTCACTCACTCACTAACAGGGACAATGTGTTGAAGTGAGAAAATGTTTCCAACGTGGTCCCAAGATGTAAAAAAAGAACCACAGCCGAGAAACATGAAACGTATGAAGTTGCAAAAGAAGAAAGAGTAGAAGCTAACCATATAATGGGCATCATATCAAATATAACACTAATATGCAACAATAACAAACTTAAGGAACCAACCTTTCAGTAATAATTTACCACCTTCCAAAGATAACCCCTGACCTGACCCCTACAAGTATCTCTGGATTTGGACAACTTAAAATTTAATAGAAAACTGGTCCACTTCTAGGCAACAGGTTAAGATAGAAGGAGCTTATTGCTATTTTATTTACTTTACTCTCATTGACACTGATGTTACAGCCAGGACCGATAAGTATATGGAACATAATTATCTGTAGCCACAAATATTCAAGAGCATGCCCACACAACCGCTTATCACAAATATCAGGATCTGCATATGTGTCGACTGATAATAAGAAATTGCAGGCCAGAGAAATGAGCTTGGGTAAACTAAGGATAAATTAATACATAAAGACAGGCTATTTTAACTTCTCATCTTAATTTTGAGTAAAATCTATATTTGTCTTGTGTTCCCAGTTTAGTTAACTAGTTTTAATACACTTTGACACTTTTATCTTTGTAATAGTTTAGACAGCTACCTCCATCGCAATATGGGTCACCATATCAGCCCACTACTTTGTGCCAGCAGGGTGAATGAAACTGTACTCCTACCTCAAAACTCTTTACAGCAAAAATAACCCCTATCCTGCTGAGGTGAAGCTGATCTGTATCTTACTCTGAATTCTGGTTTCCCTGAGATAGGCGAAAAGAAACGGTATCACATTAAACATGACCTGGGCTGACTCACCTCATTTGATGGTATGTTGACAACACCTGTTGATCTCCTCTTTTCCCTCAACTTCCTCTTCTCAATCTGCCCTTTCCCCTTCCTGGCACTGGGACCAGAGCTGTTCTTCTCCTTGGCCTTACTGGGTGACGGACTTTCTTTGTCACTGTCATTGCAAGCCATGGGGCTGGAGTCCGGGGAAGCGCACTGATCCTTCTCCATCTGAGGCGGGGCTTTCTTCAGGTTGCTCCCTGGGGTGGCTGTGGGCGCAGCAAGGTAGTGCGTTTCCTCCTCGGGTCTCTTTAAAGCCGTGCCGGAGGAGGACCGAGCAACCGAGTAGGAGGAGGGGACGCAGTTCCCAGCGGAGGCGCTTCGGTCCGGGTTGCCGTTGTTGGTGAGCTCGGTGCCAGGTGGAGCGGCGTGGCGGCTACTGTTTGAGTTGGCACCCGCGGGAGCGCCAGTAGCTGCGGCAATGTCGCCCAGCATTTTGGCTCTCATTTTCTCCCGTTTTGCCTTCCATTCCTCCAGAAAGTCTGTCGTGGCGTTTGACTTAAATCCGCCTGTGGCCATGATCCCTTTTTGATAGGTTCCTCAAGTTGGAGCAAATTAACTTAAAGTTGAAGTTGATTTGAACTTTCAGCTCTCCCGTCCTAATAGCGCCGCATTCCTGAAGTGATTAATAACCCGGGTGCTGTTGACAGGTAGGAGGAAATAAAGTCAGCCTCGCGACAAATAAAACTTTAAACTGTGTTTCTGGCTATTCTTTCTAAACCCAAAGATGGGTTTTACCCCCAGGTCGTGCATGTGTAACAGTTACGTAGCCTACATAACGTCAATAATAACAGGTTCTTCAAGTTTGCTGCTAAGTTACGCGTAAAAGTTGAAACTCTCCTGGTATCTCTGATGATTTTGTGTCGAGTAAAAGTGAACTTAAAGTGTGAAAAAGTTGACGAGACACGAGCAGAAGTAAAAAAAAAACTCACCTGTGTGGTGCTCTTTCAGTGTCTTAACAGCTCTATTTCGGTCCGACCAGGTGTGTCCCCGCGGTCCGCTCAGATGAATGCCGCTTGTCCGTAGTTGACAGCCTCTGCGCTCGCTCTGCCTTCTGGCAACGCAGTGAGTCCGACAACACCCGAACACTTCCGACTAAAGCCGAAGCAACTATGGCGCTCAGCCAGAAAATAAAGTCGCTGGAATAGTCCTTTAATATTCCCATAGGTGCTTGTACTTTGTCCAAGGCGATTTGTGGTACTTTTGTGATTTTGATTTGTATATTCTAATTTCATACTATTAAACATTCATGTTATCATATGAATATTTATGTAATTGTATGATTTTTTTCCCCCACTGTGACCCATCCACCAATGTGTCCCTGAGCAAGACACTTAACCCCTAGTTGCTCCAGAGGCCGCCGACCTCTGACATATATAGCAATTGTAAGTCGCTTTAGATAAAAGCGTCAGCCAAATAAATAAATGTAATGTAATTTTTAGTACATATCTATTATTAATTTAGTTACTCTAGAGTTTCTGAGTAAGTTATGGTTCTGGTGTGACTGTTTTTTAATAGTTTTTCAATCTTATGGAAGGAATGATTGTATTCCATTGTGAGTTTATAGTGACCTTATACAGAAAACATCTATTTATCTATTGTTTTCAATTTAATTCCATCATATCACTATATTTCTATAATTTCAGGTAGGCCAACTCTGGGAAATTAGTTTTTTTTCTTAATCTGCTAAAGTATCAGAATATTGTTTAACAATGTGTACAAGAGTTTAGTGAAGGATTAGTTGACTTATCAAAGGAGAAACGATACAAAATATCACTGTTTTCCACCACACTCTTTCATACATCTCTGTCCTTATCTTTAACCTAAACTTCTCAGACTTGCCATCCTCAAGCTGTCCACCTCTTCCTCCTTTCTCAGTCATCTGATTGCCACACCCAACAACACACCTGATTTCACTTCCCTCATCTGCTCTGAAGTTACCTGGCAACTCATTCCCTTACAGCCATGCAGCCATATACACTAGTTCATTCCTAGTTGCCATGTGCCTCTTACTTTGGCTTTCGAGCCACATGAACCTGACTCTGTCTCTGACACTGCTGTTTACCTGGATCTGTATCTGCCTGCCTGTCATATTTGTCAACAAGAACCCGCCTGTCTGCCTACCTGTCCCTACCTGTGAGCTCATTCCCGTAATAAATCCTTGAACCGCACCCATCTGCCTGTTCTGTCTGTGTTTGGGTCCAATCCCCATTTCCCTGCATAACCTACCCTGACACAAAATAAAAATCTAATAATTAATAAGTAAAAATACAAAACAATTTATTGGTTTACTCCTCTAGTTGGTTTTCTGAATTTTAGTCCAACAAAATCAGTTATATATATAAAAAAAGATTATTTTTATGGAGTGGAGAATGGTCAAAGAAAGCCTTTTATTCACTTTGTACTGTTATTTTTTTAAACTTCTTGCTTTGCTTGATATTGAGTGTCGGATAATCAAAATAAGATAACATTACCTTGCCATTTTATAGACTGACCAACAAACAAAGTAGAGATAAATTGATCATGAAAATAAACGTGAGTTGCAGCAGCCCAACATGAGTGTTTGATAAGTGTCCTTGTAAAGTGTACAACACGACAGTGTTTGTTCACATAAAGGAATGGCATATGAAATATATAAAATTATTTCAGAATAAATCCTTTCAAAAATGTCCAGAATAACACTGAAATGGACTATTTTCCACCTCCAGAGTGGGATAGACCTTGACCTTGAAAGCAGCAGTTCAGCGGTAATTTTATTCCATTAGCCACAAGTGTGTGTTTATAAGAGACTCTGTACACCTCCACGACTCTAGCTTCCACTGAAAGCACAGTTTCGCTGATTTCTTGTCTTCAATAGGCTTTTGAGAATTATAAAGTTGGAGTGCAACATTTCTGCAGAAGAGCGTTTGTCAACGACTGAGCTCTCCCACGCAGATCTCACAGACTGACTCCCTTGGCCACCAGATGACTCATCCAACCAGCTCTGATCAGAGGAGAGCCTCCTTGTTCATATCGTCACACATGCTGATGCACACACTTGATTCCAGCTAAAGGGAAGGTTGGGGACAATATGAGAAGATTGACAAGTTTATTTCTTGCGTTTACAATGCGATGCAATGTGAATGTTTACCGGAAGTTGAAGTCTCCTGCATTACAAGCCACAAAGACAGTAATGCATTGCTTTTATGTGCACATTTAGTTCTTCAAGAAACATTTTCAGTCCAGGCCTTTCAGAAAGTCCTTGACATTTAATACACATATGGTATTTAAGTAATTTAATAAAAAAAATAAAACAAAATGTAAGCAAAAAACCTATAGTCTAAAATTAGTTGGATTAGTTTACAGACCTGGGTCGCATGTTTTTAAGTTCAGAGAAATATACTTTAAAATGCTCACATTACACATTTTATATGTTATTATATAAATATCTTTATTTGTGTGGAACAACTAACATGTGAAATGAACAATAAGCAACTTCCAACCATGAAAGGGATGGGTTAAATGGAAACAAAAATTCAAACTAGCAGGAGTTACATCTTAGCATGATTTTTCTTACATTTTTCTTTTTTTTTTTATTATTGTCTTTTTATTTGTTTTTGTTTAGGTTATATTTCTGTATTTACTTTTGTTCATGTCATATTTGCTCCATTTAATGTATTTTATTTACTTTTCTCTATAAATGTTTAATTTGGTTTCTTTATTTACACATACATTTATAAATGGCAGGGGAATGTGAAGGAGAATTGCCTAAAAACCCTCCTGGAGCTTGAAAAGTGGCGTTCTCCAGGCAGCAATCAATAATCTTAGACAGATTATACAAAAGGGAGACCTCGTTTTGTATGGTATTTGACAACAATGCATCCCATAAACACCCGTTCCACAAGTATAATGAATCAGTCTTAGTCATAAGACACACACATCCACAATAAAAACACTCATTCATAATACATTCAAGTACAATACACAAAAACCATCATTAAAAGATTAGGGGCATAAACGCATGTGATATGGCTTAGAGTTTTCATAAAACAATAAAGATAAAAGGAGAAAATAAACACAACTAATGACAAAAAGAAAAACAAGTGATATTCATTATAGGCCTTTAGACTTGACTATGACAAAAGAAAAAAGTAGTTGGACCCAGGTCTTGCTGAAAATATTTGGTTTGTTAGAAGAAGTGATTTCAGAGCTCTTCTTAATCGCTGGGAAGACAATTTCATAAAATGGCAAAGAATCATGGCTTTAGTAGTACAAGAGGTATTCTTAACTTAAGCAATACTGCAACTGAAAAATATTCCATTAGAAGAAGTCCAAGGAAAAGTATGTAAGTATTGTTACCTTGAAATATCCAAATGAAGTAATTCAAACACACATAACTCAGAAAAATGGCATGAAAAACAAGCATTAATATGTAAGCAGCAGTTAAATGCTGTAGTTGGTTAATGTGGAGCTAATTGAACAATTCTATATTGGGTAGTTTCTTCTATTAATAATGTCTCATATATTACAAGCTCATGGTATATTTTGTATGTGAAATTTTGAACTGTAACAACAGCAGGTAGCGTAAAATGAAAAGTACAAGTAACTGTAATTTGTATTTAAGTAACCGTACTTAAATTTGAGATTTGGACATCGGCGAAATAAGTGACTACTGAGCAAACTCCATCCACTGTGTAATGACCCCAGCTTAGAGGTAATATAATTCATCTAAAATACTTCAGGTCACTGCTGCGTGCTTTTGCAAAGCGCCATTGTAATAACTCTGCATGTCATTCCAGTGATATTCGATCCTTGTGCATTCTGCAATTACCTCACTGCACAACGCAACAGGTTTCTTCCCACGCTGTGATTTCAACCTGCTATAGGTGCTTACTGGTGTGCCAGGATAATAGCACTCTAAGTTCAATGTGCTAAGGGATATGAGCCTTCTGGCGTTAGATTTATGTGCATCTAGCTTGCCCCAGAGGGAGCACTGACGTTAGGGCAAGTTTATAATTGATGTGCAATTGTTGATCCAAATATATATATCTGTGTGTGAAAAGAGGCTGTTTCCTGTCAATGGGCCATACAGGTCTAAACACATGACACCCATCCACATTCCCACATTGGCGAGTGGGAGAGCAGGCATTCAGCCATTATCTCTGCATGTTACAGATAATGAGAAAACTTGGGTGGAGCACAAGAGTGATTCACCTCTCCTAAAAATAAACCCTGATCTAAGGACTCAGGTAACACTGCTGCATATTTAGCATATTTCTGTCTGCTCTTGAGGAGGAAAAAAAGAATGAGGGGTCACAAGGGTTGTCGCTGAGTGTTTCCTTCCAGGGCAGCACAAATGCTTTTAATGAAACCCTATTTAACATTCCAGTAATGGATTCCCAAATGTTTAGATTTATTCAAACCATCCTACGCCCTCTCTGCAAGCTTTATGCTGTTTGTTTTTTAATAAATGGCCTAATCGTGTGTTTTGTAACCCACACACGTTTGCAGTAAAGAGGAAAAATGCATGGCTTGCATGGCTGTAAAATGAAATTTATATTAAACATAACACTGTCTTGCTATCGCACAGTTTCATTTCTTTGACTGTAATATTTCAGTCAAAGGCTATTAGGTGGGTAATTCTGTAGCGAGGAGCCGACACTAGGAGCTCACTCCCCCATGAAATTGTTTATCCAAGAGTGAGTAAGTATTCAAGAAATGTTTCTCCGAAGCCTCCCAGATGTTGGGTTTGCACACAGATGTCAAGTGGGCCAGCAGTTCTGCAGATAGTCTCCACTGCAGTTAGGTTAAGAATATTATGAATTCTGCAGCAGAGAGAGAGAGAGACCGGGAAATCATGTCTTTAACTATGTTATTTAATCAGACTTTGACAGCTATGCGAAGAACATGATTATATTTCTTCACTTGGAAAAACACACAAATCAGATATTTGAGCCAGTTATGAGCTCACAAATTTATACTTACATTTTTAACCTCTCTGGTTGTGATAAAGTCACCAGTAAAAGTTACTTTTGGAAATGAAATGCAGAAACCCTCCTCCTTCCCATTGGAAGGAATAGTTCCAGTTAGTTTGGG